ATGGCCAAGTCGAGGGCTTCCCATCCCCCGAACAAGTCCGCACTTTCTACGTCGAGCACGACATTGACGGAAGCGAATGTCGTAGCAGAGAGTAATTGAATGGTTTTGGGCACCTCTTCAGTGGGGTTGATGAGGGCGTTGATTAGTGCGGGTATGAAATTTACGATATCCTTGTTGGAAACCAATGCAGTAGTTTGCTTGAGCGACTCGCGGGCCGCCTTTTTGACGTCAGCTTTCGTGTCCCAAATGGCCTCGGCGAGGACTGGGATGATGTCGGGGGTGAGGGAGGCAGTCTGTGCAGGAGCAACCTTGACGAGCTTGTTGAGGATGGTGAGACATCCGGTCTTGACTTGCCACTTGCCGGCCGTCTTGATCTGGTGGAGCAAGGCGGGGAGAATCATGGCGGTGGCCCATGGGCTCGAGTTTTCGACAAGAGCCAAGACGGCGTCGACGGCATTAGCGCGGACAGCGGGCGTCTTGTCTGCAAAGTTCTCGAGGAGGGCGGGGATAACACCCTTGGAGGCGTCGGCGAGGATAAAGGGCTCGAGGTGGTTGGCGGCTCCCTTTGTGGCGAGGAGCTGGATGCACGAAGCGGCTGCCTCCTTGTTGAGGGGGCTTTTTTTGTCGTTAAGAGCGGCGATGACGCTGTCTATAAGATTAATGGCTTGGATGGCGGCGGGACCATCGTTTTGGATTTTGGACACGAGAGCCTCGACGGCAGCAGTGCGGGTAGCCTTGTCAGCAACAAGGAGTGTTGGGGCGTCGACTGCACCAGCCTTGAGGGCGGTGGGGACGGCAGACACGGAGGTGGTTACAGCGGGCATTCTATCAGCTAGACGGGGCGTCTCAGTAAGCGAGCTCTAGACAGCACGGACAGGACGACGGTGACAGTGGCAGAGTGGGGAAGACTGGGGGTGGAGAACGAGGGACGCGACGACGACGGGAGGCGTGGTATGGAGAGGACGTGTGGCCGTTCGACGTACCAAAAAGCTTTAAAAAAAGGATAAAAAATGCAGATAAGAGTGGTCTACGCTTGAGATGAGCACAAGAACGTTTTTACGGCGACGAAGCGCGATCTATAAGGTCTATGAAGAAAATAAAATGAGGCCCGGGGGAGGGGGAGGGAGCAAGAGTGAAAAATTTTGAGTTTGGGATGAGAGTGGCTACTTATGGCTGGCGGGCCATTCAGTCCAGGTGGTGACCAATAAACTCTCGGCAATTGTGTTCCACCGAGGCTATGGCCTTTCTTATCACGCACAAAAAAACGTTTTACTTGACTCAAAGAGCCCTCAACCCTGCAGAGACAGCATCCACGTTCGCAATGGAGAAATACTGGGGGCTAACGGGGCACGTGTACGTCCAAAAAAGTCACATTGGCGAGTGGCCAGCTGCAATTAAGGTGACACAGACTAGGAAAAAAAGCGTACCATTCCCCCGAGAAAGGCTAGATTTACCCTGGAGGGAGCGGTGTACCAGCATATCGAGTAAATAACAGCGCTTAGGGCCCCCAGCGCCCACCAGGTTTTTTCCCTCGCACACACAGGGTTATCTCTCCGTCAGCCAACCTCAGTAGCCAGCCGCTCCAGGCGCCGTATCGCCCTCCCTTTTCAGACGGAGAAGAACCTCCTTGTACCGGGTCAGGTCCGTCGTTCCCGGCCCTGTCCGTGCTATCGTCTTGGACTGCGAGTTTTCGAGCTCGAGCACTTTGCAGATCCGACTCCATGTCGTGCCCTCTGACAACCCGTCCGTCATCTCGGTCATGAATTCTTCCTCGCGAATCCTATTCTCATTAGCAGTGGTATGGTCAATTAACGAGCGGCGTACTTGTTGTCTTTGATGTTTCGTTCGACCTTTTCCTTGTGCTCCAGGTAAAAGTCGTCGATAGACTGGTGTGCTTGCTTTTTAATATCCTC